CAAATGTTTTTTGGGGGTTACACTTTTTATTTGTGTAATTACACATTTAAGTACTGAGTTATACTAATTAACTACATGTACTTAATATATTGTTAGGGTTAGGATTAGGGTTGCTTGCATGTAATTATACATAATTTATTGTTATTATAATAGTAAGAACGTGTAACAAGGACACCTTAAAATAAAGTGTTATGTTTTTTGTCCCAAGGTCCACCTTCGTGATTATGAAATTCATCTTTGAAACTTTGCAGGTTTTTACATTCACACACAGCTTTATTGCACCCTGAAATCTTATATCTGAAAAAGCATACATTTTATTGACTTCTGTCTTTCTGAGACATACTGCAATGTAAATGAAAGATTATAAATAACAGGATGTGAGTAAAATAAATGTTAAACTGCATTATTTGATTAATCTTTAGTGAATGCACATAAGTGGAGTCACAATTTAGGTTCAGCCCAACAGAGCTGAGCTCCTCTCTGAATATACAAACGGGTATCTTCCTGGAACCCAGCTACTTGTCCTTCAGTATCATAGTGTCAGCAGAAGCATCAATGTCACCTAGAGTGGTGAAAAAAAAGAAATGCAGTTCGTTCTAATTGAGAGCCATGTTGGGCAGACATGAAACTGTCCCACTTGTTTTACACTGAACATAGTCCTGGACAATGCTTTATCAATCAGCGTCAGCAAAGTGCATTTGAGTCTGTCAGTTAAACAAATGCATACAGACAGTCAATATGGTGAGTGGTACAAATCATTACACATGTAAATGTGTTTCTGTTACAGAACTCATTTGAGATTGTTAGTTAACGAGAAAACAGCTATGAAACAACTTGGCCCCAACAAGCCAGATATAAAAATCATACAACAAACAAAGGACAATGGTGAGTCGTTCAATAATACGTTCTCTTTCATCATCTTGTGTGTGAGATCCACCAGTTGGAAGAGCATCCAAACCTGATCTCTGCAGAATTATACAACTGCACCAAGTCTGGCATGATAGAGAGGAGTGCGTGCCCAATGCTGGGTAAGGGATCGACCCTTAACATAGTGCATAAAGCATGTGCACACATTACCTTTACTCAGCTAACATTTGCTTCTTGTGACCTCTGGACTGTCACAGCTTGTTTTTTCTTGGACTTTCAGATTTTGTCTCAAGAAGGAAATATTGCTCAGGATCAGCCGAGGAATATTTGCTCATGATCACACTTCATATTAGGCATATCCACCTTTTTCCCGCTCAATTTTTTCAGTCACATGGCTACCAGCCATTGGATTTTACTGCCCATTTCACCATGGTGCTCTCCAAATCTGCATCTTCTTCTGGTGATAAAGATTCACATGCTTTTTGTGCAATCTGGGCTTCAAACACATTGAGGTAGCTCTGAAATTCCCTTAAAATTGTAGCATTAGCTCCCAGCTTACCAGGCTGAGCTTCTCATCAACCGCTTCTCCAGGCTTCATCCTCTAGCTCACAAGTTGGAGGTAAGGAGCAGGTGACACTTTCTGACATTACAGGCACCCCATATCCTGGGCATCCTGAACAGTCTGCTGTGTGAGAAATTCGGTCAGGCATCCATCAATCTCTTTGTCTTTGTGCGGAAAAGACTATTGTCCTATATTGTCATAAGCATGGACGCAGTGGCCCACCTGTGGCCCGATTTGCCTTTGCCTGATAGCACCGACTCTGGCCAGGGGGAGACAACAGTGCCTGACTCTGATTTTGATAGCATCCAGATGGCCCAAACACCATGGCTTGAAGAGATTATTCCTCTGCTGTCTGCCCAGCCATGGTCCCTCCCATTACACACAGATCTCCTGTCCCAAGTGAACGGGGACAATGTACCACCCTCACCCAGACGGGGTGGCCCTCTGGACCGGGCTTGTGAGAGGACCAACTTAAACACATTGGGGCTCCTTCCACATGTTGTTGAATGCTAGGGCCTCCTCTAGACGTCATTTTATGACTGTAAGTGGCATCTGTTTCAGGAGTGGTGTGAGGGGCAGTAACTGATATAATAATTATATAATAAAATATATAATATAATAAAAACACAGCACAACAGCGCCAGTGTGCTCACCACACACCAGCTACAGGTAGAGAGGAGAAAGAGTCATAGAGCCAATCAAGTGGTTGGGGATTATTAGGAGGCCATGATTGACAAAGGACAGGGGGGCAATTTGGCCGGGACACTGAGGTTACACCCCTAATCTTTACGAGAAGTGCCATGGGATTTTTAATGACCACAGAGAGTCAGGACCTCGGTTTAACGTCTCAGCCGAAGCACGGTGCTTGTTGTCAGTATAGTGTCTCCGTCACTACAATGGGGCGTTAGGACCCACACAGACCACAGGGTGAGCGCCCCCTGCTCGCCTCACTAACACCTCTTCCAGCAGCAACCTAGTTTTCCCAGGAGGTCTCCCATCCAGGTACTGACCAGCTCAACCCTGCTTAGCTTCAGTGGGCAATCATATCAAATGATATCTGATATCATATCAGTGCTCAGTTTCAGATATTTTGGTTTTTCTGCAAGTCCTTATAGACGGTGGAATTTATTTCCTAATATTAAGGTCAATTTAGTGGTTATAGCTGAATATGATGTTGCATTTGACGGTACTACGGTGGGGCAACACCCCTTTATTCATAGACTTATAAATGCCATTCCCTATTTTTTACCAGTCACTAGATGAGCGGTTCCTGAGTGGGACATCTCCATGGAGGCTTTGTCTCAATAGCTTTTTGATCCCCTGGAAAATATATTTCTCTTAAGCCTCTGTCTTTAAGGGCTTTCTCACTGGAGGAACCTTTTCATAGTTCCTAGAACTATTGAACTATACTAACTTTTTGCCGTATTCATACCACAGGCACTAGGAATGATTTTGGTTCTATGAACTCCTTTTAAGGGAATTAAATTAGCTCCTACTTCAGAGTATGGTCTAAACCAGCACTATAGGAACTACCAGTAACATAGGTGTATATTGATTGACCAAGCGCACGGACACCAGGCATTTTTAAAAAGCCATGTAATATTTACTCCACAAACATGTAAAACTGCAGTAATGGCATTTACCTGTTGTCTGCGGGGTTGTGTTCTTTTCTCAGCCTCGATTAAATGTAACACTGCAAGCTGTCATGAAGATTTTGTCTCTTTAGCCCCACGTTTTGCTCTTTCAGTAATGCAAATTATGCATTTGCATTCTGTCTTCATCATCACACAACACACAACAAACACAGCTCTAATCATGGCATCCTCAATCCGGCAGTTGTTGACGTTTGTGAATGCCGCGCTTATATGACGCCACTATAGGTTGCTTCAGAGTTCCTACTGCCGGTGCGAATGCAACCAGGAAAAGGGCCCAGGGGAAACTTTAATTCTCAGCAAACTACCCTTATGGCTAGTTCCTGTAACTTAGTTCCTACACTCTCAAAAAGGATGTGTTAATAACACATTTTTTGTGTTATGGCTATTTTAACACATTTTGTGTAATTTTAAGTTGATCATGTGTAAAAAGAAAAAGAAAGAGCGAGAGAGAAACAACAGTGTGTCCAACACAATATGTGTTAACTATCATCCAATCACACTGCTGCTACGTCACTCCGCAAGCAGTTAAGTTTGCGCCTCTTTTTCCATCGGTGGATGACTTGGATGCACACGTCAGGTATTTGGATTTATCTGTTATTAGAAATTGTCAAACACAAATTGTCAAATGTATTTTATTATTGTTATTTTTTTAGATGGTCAAATGTGCGTTTAGTTAACAACCTCTAGTGATTACAGGTATTTTCCGTAGACGCGAGAGGCGGTGTTGAACAGGACAGCAACCACGTCTGATAGTTAACGTTAGTGCTTCACAAATTATTTTTATTTCCCCTCATACACTTTGGTAAGTTTGTCCCTCACTTTCTGGAGTGAACTCATTTTTAACGAGTTTTGTTTTTCTTTGTTTGATTTGTTGCAAATGACATGACATGACGTCTGATAAAACGCTGCAGCTAGACAGGATTCTCGTTAACGAGTTTGACTTACCACTTTCATTGCTATCTGTCGCCTCTCTTTCATTAAACAACAGAATGTATTGATGTTTTGTTAAATGCCCTTAAATAATAACATGATTTATCAAGTTAATGGTTAAAATTTGATTGACTTCGACATTCGAGTACATCTCCATTTTAAAAAAGGATGTGTTAATTTGACTATTTTAACTAAGTTTGTGTCATTTTGTGTACGTAATTGACACTAATTGTATAATAACAACACATTGGTGTGTAGAAAATTAGCAGGAATAACACATATTTGAGTTAAAAGTAACACAAAATGTGTTGTCCTTAACTAGACACAGGTTGTGTTGTTTTTAACATCCTTTTAAGAGAAGCGCCGATCCCGGGGGTGCTCAGGGTCTCGAGCACTTCTCGGCGCTTCTCTGAAAAGATAAAAAAAATTCGATAGTTCATTATTGTACGAGACAAACAGATTCAGAATTCGGAACCGCGTACTAGCACACTACTTTTACTATGTGTACCATAATGTATGGCAGAAATAGTAAAAGTTGTATGAGGTACCAAATTCAGCAAGACTCTTAATTGAAAATGGACGACCGGTTTTCAGAGACCAAAAGATTGCTTTAGGTTTATCTCGGAAGTTTATCTAGCTTATGCTAGCTTGATGTTTTCATAAATAAATAGATATTGTTCATTCTAACACTGTTTGTTAACTACTCTTTTACATTATGAATGTGAATACTATGCTTAATCAGTATATGTATATATAACAGATTGGTGTTTTTGTTTGCCCTTTTGCAGCTTCAAATGGAGGACACTCCAAAAACACTAGTGGCTGTACTACTTGATGAAAAGGAGATATGCAAAAAACTGCAGCATCTCAAGAGTGCAGCAGAAATAATTGATGCTTCCAAATGTCTCCTCCCCTGTGCTGCAGAGTACCACCGAATTTTGAAATTTAACGCTGATTTTAATGAATTTATTGATACCGACCTAACTGAGAAAATGGAAGCCTTGGACAAGTTTCAAGTTTTGTTTAAGTCGATTAAGAGAAGTGGATCACATGCATTGGTATGTAATATCCCTTTTCAGTAATATAACTAATAATAAATGACCTGTGTGTCATGCATACAGATTCCAGTATTATTGTACTTTCCTTAAGCATTAAATATTAATATTGCTTTTCAATTTTGAGCATGGTAAGAAACAGTTCAAGTTGCATTTCCATTTAAACATGGTGTGGGATGATGATTACAAAAGATAATGTAAAGTAGTACAGTATTTATCTACACTTTCTTTTTTCATTAGCATGTGGAAAAAGGGGGGTCGTCTTATAATCAGGGTCGTCTTATATTCGGGCCAATACGGTATTGTACTTCTTGTTACATTTGTTGTCCTTTAAGGATGAAAAATTGGAAGTAGATGCAGCCAGTCCAAGTCATCAACAGAATGTATGTTCATGGAGGACTTGCGTATACTAATACAAGTAATATACTTGAACATATTTTTAACTCCCCCCCTTTTTTTTTTTTGAAGGTTGCACCAAAGAACACACAAGAAGCTGATCCAAGTAGTCAACAGAAGGTTTGTATATATAACTGAGTGCTGAAATAACAACACTCTTTTCACTATTTATATCACTCTTTTTGACTTTGTTTGCCCATTCCACAGAAACTAATAGTCTGTACACTTGTACATCTGTACATTTTGCCAGTAGATGTTGACTTTATGAGTGAGTGAATCATTCAACCAGTTCATTCAAAAATGCTGATTCATTCTGGAACAATACAAGTGAGTGACTTTGAGTAACTGAATCATTAACTCATCTAATTAGAACTACGTTGTGCTTTTTATATTTCCAGCATCAACGTAATAGAATTGATGTAGACACACTGCGAGCACTAATTGAAAGCAAAGGTCCGAGTATATTTAAGGATTATGAAGCTTCAGGAATGCTTTCAGAGACATCAAAAAAACTCCTTGTGAAGATAGGAGTCAGTGCGTTGGTGGAACAAAGTGGATTGTAAATTTACAGTTGAGAAATTAACCAAAACAACTGTGAATGTGATAATGTATAAAGATGTTGAATACTTTGAATAAACACTCATTACTTTTAATAATTTGAGCATAATTTGAAAAAAAAACCTTGTAAAACAAACAGCTGATCAGCAGTAGAGAAAACTAACTGAATTTCGTTCCTGTATTTTATTTTAATGTATTATGTACAAGTTTAATTGAGCAATTCTTCCATGTTTTGTCTTTGTTTTGCTTATAGTTACCCTTGTAATGAAGAGAAACGGATGATGGCAGAAAGTGTGGTGACACTGTTTCCTTCTCTGAAGATCAAGATGGGAGAAGAGAATGAAGGATTTGTAAGTTGTACTTATTCAAACACACAAAGCTCACTTGAAATAAATGCAAATTGGAATAATAAGTGTGGTATGTTAATTGGTTAACAGGTTACAAATCAATTGAAAATTTAGTGACTGATACATTTTTTTAATTACCAATATTACAGTTACAATAACACCAAAAGTACATCCACTCTGCTGGTTTGCTCGTCACACATCATGGGTTCTTGTAAAAGTTACAATTGTTATCCTTCCCCTCTCATCCAGGAACATTTCTATGACCCAGTCTCCCACAGTGGATTTATTGAGATGAGACTCGGATCCGCGCCAAAACAATCGGTCCGAGATCGCCTGAACGAGGTGGTCTCGGCTCGATTGGAAACGAACTCTGGAGCGGTTCGGTTGTAGTGAGAAAGCAATCCGATCCAACGGACCAACAAACCAGGCTATATCCAATGTATGATGGGTAATTACGTAAGTTCTGTGAAAAGCAGTGGACGGTCCCGGCGTCCCAATGTGCATACTATCCACCCTATCTGCCCTAAATAGTATTGAAAATTACTAATATCACAAAGAATTTAGGATGGATAGTATGCACATTGGGACGCAGGCGATATCTGTGGGTGAGCACGTCTTCACCATTCAAAATCAAAGCGTGCCTTTTCATTTTATAATGCCGTCTTATTGCTCTTCTTCGTAGTAACTGTTAGGTGCATTTTAAAAATGTTTTCCCAACGAATCCTGGACTCCTGTTCAAAATTATGAATTAAAATAATGACAGCTACAAAAAAAACAAACAACAATAAGCCCTCGAAGCTGTTGTCGTTCCATCTTGACGGATGACAGTTATGAGTGGAATTCTGGAAAGTAAACCGTGGAACTTTGACCAATGAGAGGACAGTTTACTCGCATGTGACTTGTATTAACAATTTGGGTCCGTTTAGAACTTTGCCGTGTGAAAGGGAACCGCACCAAGAATAAAAAGCAACATTGTAATAATTTTAATCCCTGTTTTGGAACAAAGCAGTCGATCTACAGGTGTGAAAGCACCCTTAGAAATCTACGGAGGAAACTTCATGATGATCAGCATCGCTACCAGCGCAAACGTAGTCGAATCAGTGATTCCTCTGGAGCAGTAATCCTCAAATCTGGCTCGCAAGATCCACTTTCCTGTAGAGTTTAGCTCCAACCCTATAATCAAACAAACCTACCTGTGATTTTCTAATGATCCTGAAGACATTGATTAGCAAACTCAGGTGTGTTTGATTAGGGTAGAGCTAAACTCTGAAGGAAAGTGGATCTCGCGAGCCAGATTTGAGGATCACTGCTCTGGAGTGTCTATCACTTTGGAAATAACTGCTGAAGGGGAGGAGGACTCCTCTCGGGAGCGGATGACTGTGATCAAAAGGATGAAACCATCTCCAGAAAACCTCAATATCATCAAATTGGGCATCGAGAAAACATACAGTAATCGCAGGTTATGGGTTGCAAACAAGTCCCCAACAGTGAAAGAGATTTTTGAACAATATCCTCGAATTTGTAGACATGCCATACTTGGTAAGGACTTGTGTTTTGCATGGCTTTTCCTTCTAGCTAGGTATGAATAGACTTGTCAGCAAAGGGACATGGCTGGTAGATATTAATTAAGTCCACATGAATTCAAAAAGTTTTTTTATTATTTTTTTGTTGTTGTTTTTTTTACTTTGTTAGCGCACATTACTAGTCTTGTGGTGAAAAATTAATCTATGCAATTTATTTAAAAAAACAAAACAAAAAAATTTTGTCTTTGTAATCTTTAGTCATAATCTGTGTTTGGTCACTTATCAAAAGGTTGCTAAAAGTAGCCAAATAAAATGTAAAAATAACTAAATTTGTTGCTAGGTGCTTTTGGAAGAAAAAGTTGCTAGGGTAGTCTGAAAAGTTGCTACATTTAGCAACAAAATTGCTAGGTTGGCAACACTGAAAGGAACATGGCTGGTCGATATTAAGTCCACATGAATTCAAAATGTGTTTTTTTTTTTACTTTGTTAGCGCACATTACTAGTCTTGTGGTGAAAAATGTATCTATGCAATTTATAAAAAATTAAAAAAAATTGTTTTTGTAATCTTTAGTCATAATCTGGAATTTTGCTTTCCCTCTGAAATGCTGTTCCTTCTCTTACGTTATCCTTTAAACATCCTTTAACCACTCCCCTCCAACCATCAGTCTGCTGCAAGCTAGAGATTAAGGTGCACTAAAATCAAGCCCCACCACTTATTTTTCTTCATTCAGTTTAATTCAAATCATAATACTGCTGTATAGTTTTTATTTTCTTTTTACTGTTATGCCTAGAATGGCCCACAATGCCTCTCTGAAGTTAAGATTGCATGAACTTCCTGGGAAGGTTGACCTCTTTCTTCGAAAATGGGAAGGAAATATTGTTCCAAAGTTACAAAAGATGTCCACAGTGAAAGATCCTCTGGTCATGCCAAGTGATAATGAGAGTGAAGGTAGGCTACTTTGCTCGTTCTGTCAAAATGTTGTTTTTCTTTCAGTGGACACCATTAGTTTTAGTAGTTCTCTGAAGGCAAGGTTGGAGTTTAAAGTCAGCCATATACCAGCCATTAAAAATGTCATTATATTTTGTGTTTTTCTATCATACTACAGATTCATGTTACAGAGCAAATTCTTACTACATTGCTGCCCCCCCACTGCGTCAGGAATAGGGCTGAAACGATTAGACGACATTATCGACAACGTCGACAATAAAAAATTGTCTGCAAATATTTTTGTTATCGAGTAGTCGTTTGAGCCCTGCACGGGCCTCAAATTTAGGCCCTACCCCGGCCCTGGCCCGAGACGCTCAGGCCCTAGCCCGGCCCGTGTCTGACAGCTTATCAGAATCACCGGCCCGAGCCCGTCTTTTTCCCCCCTTCTCCCAAAACAGCTTATACTACTGTTCCAGCTATTAAAATAGCTCAGTTTTAATGTAATGGCAAAGTGATTATATTTTGTTTCGATTTTTTATTAAGTTAATTTAGAAAAAGCATTTTTTGTTCCTTAAATATAAGATTTTGTTTTTTTAAGTAATGACCAAGCGGCCAGCGGCAATGGAGGCGCCAGTGCGATCACTTGCATTTTTTTCAGTGGATACGTCGTATTTTTTGCTCATAAAGGTAAGAGTAATACATCATTCATAACTGTAAAGGGTCTACTTTTATTTGTGTGCACTCACAATATCAACAAAACGTTGTGCTTTTAAAATAAAGAAAACAAACATGATGCGCTTTCTGCTGTCTTGGTCTTGAACAGGAGCGCTTCACAAAAATGAATCAAAACTCAGCGAATACATGCCTCATAGACATGATAAATATATCTATAGAAAGCTTTAAATTACTACTTAACGGAATAAAACAAATCGAAAACGAAAACTCTTTAATTATAATCATAATCCGTAAAGATGCACTTCTCTCTAAAGGCGCGTCTAATGAAGAGATGGCGAGTCAGGATTGGTAACTTCATCCTTGCGACACCGACTCAGAAAACACTAGTTTATTAATAAATAATTCAAATATCTCCTTACTATTTCCCCCCAACACAATTACTTTTGCCAGTGCTTTGCGGCAAGCTTAAGGCTATTGCGTGCATTTGAACGCAGATTTGTTCAGCTGCGCTGACGGCACGCACCATACTGCTGCTGATGCTGCTGGACACTAAACACCATCGAGCTCTTGACAGTCGCAGCAGCACGGTCTCGTGTTGTTTCCACCAGCGTGACAATTTCTTTTTTTTCATCACTAATTGATGGATGTCTAAAATATAAAAATAAGGAGAAGCCTAAAACAAGCCCGAGGCCCGGCCCACGTCTGAACTATGAAGTGAAAATTGTCCCGAATCCACCAGCGTGACAATTTATTTTTTTTCATCACTAATTGATGGATGTCTAAAATATAAAAATAAGGAGAAGCCTAAAACAGGCCCGAGGCCCGGCCCGCGTCTGACGTGAAAATTGGCCCGAAGCCTGGCCCGAAGGGTGTAACAAAGTCAAAATGCAGGGCTCTACCATTCATGCTCATCGAAACAGCAATGCAATAGCCCTACTGTGTTGTAACATGGTGTGGTATATGGGCATCTCTGGTAACGCTGCCCTCTCATTCATTGATCTGCCGCCCGCTATGTTATGCTCACGTATAATAATAATAGCTTTCTAGGACTAAACATTATTTGGATAATTGGTAAAAAAAAAAAAACTAAATCTCTTAATAACCCTACTGTTAGACCTACCTGAAAAACTAAAAAGCTATTTATTTCATTTTTAGGCCTATCGTTATTTTATATTTGTGCTATCATTAGTAGGTGTTTACAGACTGCTTACAGACAGGAGGTTAGTAAAATGCATCTGATTACAGCGATGTGGATGTTTGCACGAGCTCTGCAGTTCAGTACCCCAGTAAAGTCACGTCACGTTTATTTATTTAGTACTTTATGCAATATAGCCTAAAATCAAGCAGCTTTACAGTATTAAACATGAAAATCCAGAGTCAGTGTTGCTTTCAGTTAGAATTACAACTTGATTTTCTGTTATAAAGCAGCTCTCCAGTGTGGAGCTAGCTAATGATAAAATCTGTTTATTAGTTGGGGGGGGAACGTTTAGTTAAAGTGATAGTTTGGTTTGCAGAGATCAAAGCTTGATCTAGCTCAGGACTGTTTTGATTATCATAACCCTATAAGGTATTTTAAGAGAGATTGTTGTGAATAAAATAGTTTATCCAAAAATAAAATGTCTTATCACTTAATCTTTATTTTGTTTCTTATCCATATGACTTACAAAAGGAGATGTTTGGCAGAATGATGTGTCATTGAGCTACTTTCTATATAGCTAATTAAATGGTGAATAAGAGTTTCTCTGCCATCTCATTTTGTGTGCCAAAATATTTATTTCTATAAATTAAATGTATAATTGTAATTAAATAATATGACTTTCAAAAGCTGAAGTGATTACCTTAATTTATTTGTTAGAATATGTATAACTTAATATTTTAACTAATTGCAAAAGATGAATAATCAAAAAATGTCTACTGATTTAATCGGCGAAATAATCGATGATTGGTCGATTAATCGTTCTAATAATAGTTAGATTAATCGATTATAAAAGTAATCGTATGTTGCAGCCCTAGTCAGGAAGGAGCAAAGGGTGGGCCAAATGCAGTTCAAAGTCGGCCCTTGCTTATCTCTTGGACATTAAGCCGGTAAGCAACTTGATTGTCCTTATATGTTAGCTTTATTTTGTGTTTGTTAGTTTTCTGTGCAGGCACTTTGTGATGTTACTAAATTACATGACTCTCTGATTTGCATAAAACTATACTGTTTTCATTTTGTTTTGTTTTTTAGGGATGCATGATATTAGATTTTTGCAGATATTTTTCAACTCATATTGGCCAAGTGTCTTAAGGTTATTTGTGTATTTTCATTTTATTACAAATAGGCCAACAACGTCCCCTAAATAAATAAACCGCCTTACTGAATGGGCATTAGGACCCAGGGAAGGCTGTTGCTGCTGTTGTCGCTGCACGCGCTAGTGACTGTTTACTCTATCACGCCAGATGTGTCATTCTGTATGTACATTCTCAAATGAAATGCAGTGATCCAAAACAGTAAAGCTAATCATCATTCAGGCAAAAGTTTGCTTCAAGAATGACCACACTGCTGACGTGATTTTATCACTAGCACACCCTGAGCACATATGAGCTATTCGTCTTATCTGCAAGGTATGTCGGCATTTTTATTTTTTTTTTCAAATCAGCTGATGTCGTTGTTTACATTTTAAGCCTTTATCGTCCGATTCCAATAACATTCCGATAATATCATGCATGCCTATTTTCTTTTGAACAAAAATAAGAAAATATCCCTGGCTTATAGTTCAATTAATGCAGATGAATTAAAGGGATAGTTCACCCAAAAATAAATTCTGTCATCAATTATTCACCCTCATGTCGTTCCAAACCCGTAAGACCTTCGTTCGTCTTAGGAAGCTACGAGAAAACTTTTTGTGCGCAAAGTCATTATTTATGTTTTCATTGCGCACAAAAAGTATTCTCGTTGCTTCGTAAAACTACGGTTGAACCCCTGATGTCACATGGACTATTTTACCAATGTTCTTGCTACGTTTCTGTGCCTGGGAACATTTCAGTTGTGTTGCTGTCTATGGAGGATCAGAGAGCTCTCGGATTTCATCAAAAAATATGTTAATTTGTGTTCTGAAGATGAACGAAGATGTTGTCGCTGCACGCGCTAGTGACTGTTTACTCTATCACGCCAGATGTGTCATTCTGTATGTACATTCTCAAATGAAATGCAGTGATCCAAAACAGTAAAGCTAATCATCATTCAGGCAAAAGTTTGCTTCAAGAATGACCACACTGCTGACGTGATTTTATCACTAGCACACCCTGAGCACATATGAGCTATTCGTCTTATCTGCAAGGTATGTCGGCATTTTTATTTTTTTTTTCAAATCAGCTGATGTCGTTGTTTACATTTTAAGCCTTTATCATCCGATTCCAATAACAATCCGATAATATCATGTATGCCTATTTTCTTTTGAACAAAAATAAGAAAATATCCCTGGCCTATAGTTCAATTAATGCAGATGAATTAAAGGGATAATTCACCCAAAAATGAAATGTCATTAATTACTCACCCTCATGTCGTTCCAAACCCGTAAGACCTTCGTTCGTCTTAGGAAGCTACGAGAAAACTTTTTGTGCGCAAAGTCATTATTTATGTTTTCATTGCGCACAAAAAGTATTCTCGTTGCTTCGTAAAACTACGGTTGAACCCCTGATGTCACATGGACTATTTTACCAATGTTCTTGCTACGTTTCTGTGCCTGGGAACATTTCAGTTGTGTTGCTGTCTATGGAGGATCAGAGAGCTCTCGGATTTCATCAAAAAATATGTTAATTTGTGTTCTGAAGATGAACGAAGATCTTATAGGTTTGGAACGACATGAGGGTGAGTAATTAATGACATTTCATTTTTGGGTGAACTATCCCTTTAAGAGATACTCCAGTCACTTGAACTGTGTTGATAATGGATTTTATAAAATGTACTTTTATTTTTACAGGCTGGAACCAGCATCTCCAGCCTCCTGGATAATTCCCAGACAATGGTGGAAAGCCATCAACCCCACATTGTCTGTTTAGGAGCCCCAAGTTCTACAGCGCAATACATCATTGTGGCCGAGAATGACAAAGTCACAATTCCACTTGAGGATAACAGTCTGACGTGTGCCATCGACAAGCTGTTTAAAATGTATTGGGTTTGCAATGTAGAATATCCTATCCAACTCACATCTGTCTTTAATTTCTTTGAAAATGTGTATGACATTCCTTTCTCTGGTGGGAAGAGATCTAAAGTTGTGGAGCTTATTTCAAAGCTTCAAGCACTTTCCTAAATTGTACCACCATGTACATATGTCCGAAGTGCAAAAAATCAACTTCAAAAGACATCCGGAAACTTATAAGTCATCTTAGGCATGTCCATGCACTTTCTGATGGACAGGATTATACAATTGTTTGTAGTCAAAACAATTGTCAACGAACATACCATAACTTCAATTCTTATGCTAAACATCTCAATAGAGAGCATGCTCAAGCTGCAAAGCCAGTACATTTAGAACAAGACCCTGACACCAGCATGAGTGAGTGACTTCTCAGCTGCATCTTGCTCTGCTGCTGTTGATATTCTAGAGTCTAATTTTGATGGCTCCAGTAATTGCAGCACTTCTGACTACCAAAGCCGTGCAGCAGCATTTGTTGCAAAAATGTACTCTTCAAATTGTACCCTGACTGATGTGCAAAGAAGCATCACATGCACAAAAGAACTACTCTGTGAAACCCTGGACTGTTTGCAAGAGAGAACCACATCTCTGCTTAATCGTTACTCTATAGTATACCCAATGATGAATTGCAGACTTTGATGGAAGATTTTGAAAGAGGACGAAATATGTTTGAGGAAGTTGATACACCCTACAAAATGACCAAGTATTTTGCTGAAAACCACTCTTTTATCAAGCCAACAGAAATCTTCCTTGGAAACAGAGGTGACACTTCAGAAAGCAAGGTAAAGTGATAATAGCAGATACATGTCAATACATATCTATTATTGATACTCTGAAGTTTATTTTTGACGATGAACAAATGCAAAAGCTCTTTGTGGATTCAACCGAAAGTGATGATACATTGCGTGACTACTGTGATAGCTCACATTTTAAAAATCACAAATTGTACAGTAGATTTCCTCAAGCTTTACAAATTCAACTTTATTTTGATGATTTTGAAACAACAAATCCTTTAGGCTCTAAAACCAAAGTTCACAAAATGGGAGCAGTTTATTTTTGTTTGAGGAATTTACCTGCTAGATTTAACTCGTCTCTTGAAAACATCCACCTATGTTTGCTTTTTAATTCAATTGACAAAGAAGTTTATGGTTTCAACAAAATATTTGAGCCATTGTTGGATGATATTAAATTTCTTGAAACCAGAGGGATAGAAGTTCAGATAAATGGCCAAAGTACAGTGTTATTTGGCACAATATGCTTATTTACTGCTGATAATCTGGCCTGCCATTCACTTGGAGGATATTTGGAGAGTTTCGCAGCCAACAAATCCTGTCATTTCTGTCTGATTGACAAACATGAGATTCAGTGTATATTTGATGACGATTGTTTGGAGTTGAGCAATGAAATAAATTACAATGAACATGTCATGCTTAAAAATTCTAGTTTAACAGGCATAAAAGCAGACTCTTGCCTAAACTCTCTAGAGTACTGTCATATTACCGATAATGTCTGCGTTGACATTATGCATGACATTTTAGAGGGTGTGGCTCCACTCGAGATCAAACTAATGTTACAACATTTCAACTTTTCACTTTAGACCAGTTGAATGACCGAATGATTAGCTTTGACTGTGGTGTGGCAAACGAGAAAAACAAGCCTAGTGCCATTCATAATTTAAGAACATCAGAGAACCCCATGAAGCAAAATGCCAGTCAGATGTGGTGACTCATCCTTTTTTTTGCCTTTCCTGATTGGAAATGTTATAAGTGAAGATGATAGTCACTGGAAATTGTTCCTTCTCCTTAGAGAAATTTGTAGAATAATTTTTGCACCAGTTGTTACCAAAGGATTAGCTGTTTTTTTAAAGCAGCTAGTTATTGATCACCATAACTTGTTTAAGACTCTTTATCCAAACAAATCACTAATACCAAAGCATCATTTTATGACTCATTACTGGCGAATGATGATAAAATTTGGCCCACTGGCTAAATTTTGGTGCATGAAATTTGAGGGAAAGCATGGTCCTCTAAAAAGACAAGCGCAAGCTGTATGTAATTTTGTAAATACTGATAATCAGTATTATGATTATCCTACTACTTGTTGCACTTCTGTTTCAGTTTTTTTATAACCATTTCTTACTATGTGTCAGTAAGTTGTTGTTATTTTAGCATGTGTGTTTGGCTCAGTGTTATTTTTTTTATTTTATTTTTTGATAAACTAATGTAGTTTGATTTGTATTAGTTATCTATTTTAGTTTTAGTTACAGTTGTAGTAATGTTGTAATTTTATTAGTTTTTTTATTATGTCTATATAGGTTTTTTATTAAGTTTTAGTTTTATTTAATTTGAGTTATTTCAGTACTTCAACATACAAAATGGAAATGAAATAATATATATATATTGAATGTGGCTGTGTACATACACATATGTAGTTGTTTTTTGGTGTTTGGCTTAGTGTTATGTTAGAATCATTATTATACTCATACCTTTTGTTCTTTTAATATTTTGAATTGTTTTTAGCTTTATTTTGTTTTCATTTAAATGTTTAGTTTTGAAATGTTGTTGTATGCATTTGTCATTTTTATTTAATTTAGTTTATTTTCTTAAATGTGTGTGTGTGTGTATGTATTTATTTTATTTTCTTAAATGTGTGTATATATATATATATATATAGTATTTATAGAGTTTTAGCTTTTAGTTTTAATTACTTTTTCTTATTTGTAAGTCGCTTTGGATAAAAGCGTCTGCTAAATTACTAAAAGTAAAAAGTAAAAGTAAGTATACTACTTTTTGGTAAGGGTAGCTGGAAGCACTTTCCAAACATAGCCATATACGACTTTGCAAGAGGACTGGCAACAACATACTAACTTGAGGGAGCCTGAAAAATTGCCATTTAGTCCACACGAGGGGCAGCTGGCTGAAGCAACCACAGACAATCTGCAGCTGGCTGGCGAGGGAAAGCTAAAGGTCAATTTACCTTGGCTCAAAACAAAGAAAACAGATACAGACGCAAACTGCCACCCAATCACTGGGTCATCTGACCACTACACCCTATATGACATTTCCATGAGAGGAATACAAAGGATGCTAGAGATGCCCTTCGGAGGATTGGACTTGTCCCAGAACTGGCTGGCTGGGTTAACAGCCAGTGCGCTGAGCAATTATCTGCAGACATGAGGAAGAACAATTCTTTTTTGAATACCCTCACACCCTCTCAGCACATCTTCATGATGCGGAACATACTACACCACTACAACACAAAATGCAATATTAAAACTAAAGTCAGCATCCAGAAAGTAGTGGGCAAAGATGTTCAGCTGCAGTTGGATCACAACGGTCAGATAGTAATGGGTAAATTAATTAAGCTGTTTATTTTGTCAGTTGTTTAACATTGAATGCTCATCTGTATTATTATCTTATAATCTGTACTGTTGTTGTTTTGTTTTCTTTTACTACAGCTGCACAGATACCAACTGAAGCAGAGGAAACAATACAATCCAGTGAGTGACAGAAAACTAAGTAAAAAGCAATAATACATCTGAATTTAACAGTATGGATCTTCTTTATCTTGGGAAATATTTTATGATACTTCATGTTTTCTACTGCTCCTGTTTTCACATCAGGAGTTTAGATCAAGAAATTGTTTTGTTTTTTTACTTGTGATTGTACACTACTTTTCTGACTTTCTTCAGCTATAAACAAGCTTTACTAAGACCATAAAAATTCATTTACAAATATGGATCTTCTCTTAAGACTGTCCTAGCCCATCTGACCTAGTTCAAAGTGTAACGACAAGCCAGACAGATGAACAAGCAGGCAGGAGGATGTGGGATGTTGACTATCTCCCAGCACAACAGAATTTGGTAATTTATTCATATTGCAATGATTGTCATAAATATTATTATCTGCATTACTGTTCATATTTGTATGTTTTAATGAGTTATGTAACAATGTTTATTTAATTTTATCAGCTGGCTTATGTCTTGGATAGAGCCAAAGATCCAAGTGAGGATTTACTTCAGCTGAGCCCAGCCCAAACATTAAAGAGAAGTGACTTTTGGTCTTTGGCCTTTGATGAGTTAGAGGCAACGGTAAATGTCCATTCATAGGCATTATTTTGCTGTTGACATAGGGTTGATATGACTGCAACTTTACTAATATTCATCCATTTTCTTTTACCAGATTGCTAATCAGTGCTTTCAGCTCATCGCTGCACTTGCAGCTTCACAGGTCAGTTTGATAGCTTTTGTTGTGTTTAGTAATTCAGGGGTTACGAAAAATATTTAATGTCACACTGCACTATGTGTTTCTATCTTTTCAGGGCAAAGATGTGTTTGCTGTCAACAGTTATGTGGTGGTCACGTGGTTGCCTCCATATAACAGTGATCCTCGGCCAGCTTTACCTGTTAGTATCCTTTAACATATGTGGCACACACATTTTAATGATTTGCTTATTTTGCTATATGAATTGTTAGTGAAAGAAATCAATAATCATACAGGATATTAATCATTATAACTGTGGTTCACCATGATTCTCATCTCACAGGATGATGCTGCAACCAAGGACTTCTTGTTACTTCCCTCATTGGAGTCAGGGCACTGGATTATATGTGTAAATTTTTCCATATGTTAGCCTGCTATGCATAATGTAATTGTACTTTTTGGTTGTTATGGCCATAATTACACAAGTGTGCATTATGGGCTTTCGATTGGTCCAATTCTCAAGGATGCACCGAAATTTTGGCCATCAAAAATGTTCAGCTGAAATCCTAAGTTTCAGGATAAAAGTCACAAACTAACCAGACATCTCATGTTGTAGGGTGTAGGTTTGTTGGTAGCCTTTTATCCAAACGTTGAAAGTAATTTTGAGGTCAAGTTTGCTGCACATCATCATACTGTGTTAAGATGTTAAGTCATTACCTTTCACAATTGTAAAGTATTTTAAGATTAATAGAATAAATTTTAGCTCAGTGTGTCCAGTATCTTCAGTTTTGCTTTGGCCAAGAATTTTCTTCTTCTGTGCATCACCAATTTCTAATGTCATGTTCTTTTACAGATCCTCAAGCCAAAGTCAAGGGAGATTTTATTTTTTGACTGATTTTGGACATGGGAGTTACATTCAGATTTTCAGGTTTTCACCTGAGGATAGCACAATTCAAGTTCTACTGTTCTGTGTTCATACTAATAACATGCATGTGTTTGGAGTTCATACTAACACAAATAAATGTCTGTGTTCTTATGTAAACCATTTTAAATGAACTGGCTATAACATTTTATTTTTTACAGGTGTGAAGAGTGATGGAATAGTACTTTCATTCGACTTCATGAACTGAAATGTGTCGCGCATTATGAAATGTATGGTGGATCTGTTTGAGCTCATACTTTAATGTTTCAGCCAGTTATGGTTTTCACTATTATATAATTATAATTCAATCATAGTAAAACCAAACCCCTGGCTCTAACATAAAGCTCTAACATTTTTATTGCAATATGATCAGTTATGTTATTGTTTACATGTGACTGCTCGTAAATATAGATTTTTTTTATTGTTGTATTACTTTAGAAATCTGGCCAATCACATTTCTCCCAGCCATTGGAACATGTCTGTACTGACAGATTTTGAGGTACAGCTTTTTAACTTCTTTGCTTGTGAACTTTTCATATCTGTAGTGGAGTGTTAAGAAAGAATGCAGTACACAGTTGTCACAAATAACCCACTATGGGTGAATTGAATAAACCAAGTGCACTTAAACAAACATAAAGACTTAAAACAAAAAACAATCACCGGACGTAATGATAATGCATTTATTGTATATGGTCTAATTGTATATGGTCTAATTGTATATTGTCTATAATTAACAGGGTGCCCCTCTTCAGCTAGGAGGAATTGATTGCGGGGTATTCATGTTGATGGTAGGTGGTTTTATAATTGCTGTACAGCTGTGTCTGTGTGCTAAACACCGCATTTGTTAATATAGTTTTGTTTTTGTTTTTTAGTATGCACTCCATGTTACGCTCTCAAAGCCATTTGATTTTGCTGTGAGTTTGCATCAATTTATGGTTATTTGTAAAGCAAAAAGGACGGTGAGAACACTTTCAACAAAATAAAAAAAAAATGACTAAGATTTTCAATTGCTATCTTTTATCAGTCTGACATGCCTATAA